TCACCTGAGGGGCAGTAATCTGCCCTCTGCCTCGGAACCAGCCTCCATCCCCGTATGCCGACCCATCTCTTCTACTACCGTGAGTGTTCCTCAAAAATTTTCGTTTTTTAACCTATTCTTTATTTTTCCTATGTTAACCTTTATCTTTCCTAACCTAACCTCTTCTATATTACTTGTTTTTCATGCCACCATAAAGTTAAGATAGAATTTTTACTACAACATAGTTATTTGTCGTCAAAAAGTGGAGTTTGGGGGTCGGGCTGGGTTCTATTGGAATTAATCCCATATGTTCTGTTATTCACTTAACGCGGTTTTCACTTAACGCGGGACCCTCTGGGTTCAATTGACCGCGTTAAGTGGGGTACAACTAGTGTTAAACCTTGATTTTTCTTTTACCTGGTACAGTATATTATTCTCTGATTGATATTTCTCTTCTATATTATGTGTGTGTGTGCATACCATCATAAAATTAAGATGTTATTTTTACTACAGCGTAGGTATTGTGTCAGTATTGTGTCGGAAAAAGTGGAGTTTGGGGGTGGGCCCAGTCTCTATTTCAATTAATCCTATATGTTCTGTTATTTTATTTACACGTTTCTCGTTTTACGCGGTACAACGCGGGTTCAATTGGCCGCATAAATGAAGACCCAACTGTAGCAGAAACACACATAGGCATGACTAGGTTTATCACAAAGTGATGAAAAGGGTACGCTCAATACTGTACAGTGGGTAGTCCACAAAACATGTAGTTATGCTTTCTTTATTTGAGTGCCCCATCATAGGAGTCCGTTTTCTCTCGCTTCAGGACGCCTGAGTCCTCCGTTTTCTCTCAATCTTAGAGTGCACCAGAGAATTCGTTATTCCTTAGTAATGACACAGAATTTGAAATTGCAACCCCAATTGCAACCTGTTGAGGCAACTAGATACGTCTGATTACAGCAAATGTGTTATTGTCAATTTGTAGGTGAAAGATTTTATCCTCAAATGCTTACTAAAGCCTAAGGAAGGAAGGATATTCCTTTAACACATAATATCTGGCCAGTATGGGGAGGATCATCGTGTCTCCATCAGGGGGTCGTGGAATGGTGGTCCAGCAGGCATCACGGAAGTGTTAATTTTTTATTTTTTTATTGTTTGGGGGGCACGGACGTATATGCGATCGGACGTTGTTCGGTTGGACGTTAACCGGCGCATGACTGTATATACAGTGGGGACCTGAATACAGTATGTGCAAATTTCGCTCTTATACAGGATCCCAGGAATGTAACCCTCGCATACTCTAAGACTCGTGTAGTGTACTTCATCCACCACTACATAAATGAGTAAGGATGTAGGATCATGCAATTACAAATTTGAACAGTCCAGTGTTTACACCCCTTCTGTGCCACATATTCCCCCACTCTTTGCTCCAATTTTAATTTGCTTCTCCTCACCTCATCTTTCAACTTAAGCTCATAGACTATTAATGTTGTACATATGACAACCATTCTTTGCATATGCCCAAAACATCACAATATTTCATAGCATACCTTTTTCCTTCACTACAATAAATACAAGTACCTGTACTGTAATGACTACTATTTCATTTATTTTCACATGTAAAAGAAGTTATGAATAGCTTGCAATGTACAGAGGTCCCTCAATTGACGAGGACAATTGGTTCCACTGAGTCGGTCGCTAACTGAAAATTTTGTTAACTGAATCTATTATTTCAATGGAATATTGGGTAATTGGTTCCAACTAACAGAAAAAGCACATACAAAGTACTGTATATCGGTAATAGAATTAACAAAACATTAAATATAAACAAAATACAGTACTGTACTGTACTGTACTGTACAGTATACTGTACAATAATAAATAAAAACAATAGAATACTGTATTTTAACTTACTCTGAGGTGTGTATGTCGTATTCCCAGCAGCTTTGTTTACATAGCAAACAGCTGATTGTAGAGGCAGTCGATGATGCCATATTCTTTACAGAGTGTAATGGTTCTAATGCCTTCTTCGTATTTCTTAATAATTTCTGCACTGTAGATTATCAATATGTTAACTAAATTTCAGAATGACCAATAATTTTAATGTAGAAATGCAAAAATATTCAAGACACCAACAAACTCGATGCTTACTCTACTGTTAACAGAGTTAAACTGAGAAGCGTTGGTGGGCGAATCGATCAGCTGAGGGCACACAAAACTGTACCCTGTACTGTAGTGTACAGTACATACTATCAATATGTTAACTAAATTTCTGAATGACCAATAATTTTAATATAAAAAAAAATGCAAAAAATATTCAAGAGCACATCTTTCTTGATATTTACTCCACTGGAAACGAATGTAAACATAGAGCCAATTACTGTATTGGCGGACTAACCGATCAGCTGATGAGCACACCAAAGCGTGTTTCTCGTAAGGCTGTCGTTAATAGAAGTTGTACTCGTTAATAGAACCGAAAATCCTTATGAGGGGTAATTCATTAACTGAAATCTCGTAAATTGAACCGGTCGTTAATGAGGGACCACTGTATGCCCCTTTACTAAGACAATCCAGACAGACCCAAGCAGCTTTATACCGTCCATAAACTATTGCACTCTTTTGTACTGTATGGAAGAGTGCTGGGCCAACACTTCCCATTATGCCAACTCTCTTGTAAGGACAATAAAAAAAAGGCTTGAACAAATTAAAGTGGATTTTGCAGCCTCCAAAGAAAATAGGTTATCCATCGCTACTTGAGTAAAAATTTTCACAAATCTCATTGTTCATATGAACAGTTCATCCCTCGTGGCTGAATCAAATACATTTGGAATAGGCTAATGAAAGGTGAAAACATTTTAAAAAAATCTACTTTGTGAAGCACTGCTTCACATTATGAAATTCAGGCATGCCTCAATCCCTTGCAGGCCATGTTTGGAACCACCTTATCAATCTTCAAAACCATTAAGGAAAGGAGGGGAAATATTTGTCATGAACTTTATTCTTAAAAGACCATAATTGTTGTCCTTGCAGTCTTAGTCAGAGGAATTGAAGAGGAAGAAATATGAGTGTAATGCCCACTACAGTACAGGTTGTACCTCTCTAGTCCGGCATTCTGTGGTCCGGAAACTCCCATGGTCCGGAACGATTTTAGTTTGCCCAATAGGTAGATAGGCAGCTATTTTTTTTTTTTTTTTACTTCTCTGAATTTTTATTATTATTACAGGAGTATTACATTTTTGCCCCTCAGGCTCCAATGTGGGTCAGTGACCTGTGCCAGGGTGGGCTAATCCCCGTAAAAAAACAACAACAAAGCCGCGGGAAATTAAGGTTTGTTTACATCCGGCAGTTCGGCTCTCTCTCTGTGTTTGTCTATACAGTACAGAGTACAACATTTAACCCTTCAATATATATGAACAGTAAATAAGTGTTGCCTTCATATTCTTATGTAGAGTAATGACGATGTTTTCACCTGTGCTCACTTACATACGTGCAGTCTCACTTTTCTTCAACATTAATGGTTTGCTACTTATATTGTTCCATTTATTAACATTAAATAACATTATTTCAAACAACCATATTAATTATTACATTAATTTTACTACAGCTACAACCAGGGTCATATTTTCTTGTTTTATATGTAGAACCAATCAGTCACTGGTTTTGTAAACATTAACGAAAACAATGCCGGCAGCCGTCTCGTCTCCTCGTGTGTTTTAATATTCCACGAATTATTAATGAATTGTATTGTTCATTTTACACACACAAACATTAATTCAATAAAAAAAAAATCAGAAACATTAATTAAAACATATATGAACAGTAAATAAGTGTTGCTTTCATATTCTTATGTAGAGTAATGATGATATGTTTTTCACATGTGCGCACTTACATACGCGCAGTCTCACTTTTTTCCTTTAACATTAATGGTTTGCTACTTTTATTGTTCTATTTATTAACATTAAATAACATTACTTAAAACAATCATATTAATTTTTTACATTAATTTTACTACAGCTACAACCAGGGTTTTATTTTCTTGTTTTATATGTAGAACCAATCAGTCACTGGTTTTGTAATCAACGAAAACAATGCTGTCTCATTTCCTCGTGTGTTTTAATATTCTACGTATTATAAATGAATTGTATTGCTCATTTTGCACACATAAACATTAATTCAATCAAAAAGACATTCAGTAATAAACAAAAATGAATCTTTTGTACAGAAGAGAAATGACGGTTTACACGATTGTGCACGTCGTCTGAACATTGGTGGGCCGTTCAAACCCGTCGAAATTCGAGTTTCCGCCGCCAAAATTTTAAATTATGTAGTTTTTTCTTTTTTGTGTCCAAATAAAAAACGTTGAATTAAAAACTCGCAAAATTTGAGAAGCTACTGTACGACATTTAACCCTTCAATATGTCTTCAAAGAGACCACGAAGCAGTGAAAGTGGTGCTAACGTAAGCGCAAGTCACTATCTGTCCAGGAAAAGGGTGAATTTCCATGGTCCGGAAATTTCCATGGTCCGGCACCGGTCAGGTCCCGAGGTTGCCGGACTAGAGAGGTACAACCTGTACTCTAGAAAGCTGTACTTTATTTCACCTACAGTCGCTGCCCTGCTAGGGGCACTCTTATTCTTATTACCAGTACAGTATAGGTATATCTCAAAACATTTAACTCAAAAAGGTTTGAGTGCATGAAAAATTCTATTAATTGTGAAAGCAGATGATAATTATTGCAATCATAGGCTCATAAGTTTCATTACAAACTTCAATGTATCAACAAATGTTTAAGCTAAAATATTTCTTATTAAAAAATTAAAGTATCACAAATCAATTCTGTCAGTAAAAGTTCCAGATCTACACTATAATTCATTTCACAAAAGTACAGCTGATTTCTGTTCCATAATCTCTAACAATAAGTACAGGGTATCAGCTTATATTCCTAATTCACACAGCTCTGTTTCACCTTATTCTTCCCGACAAAACTTTTTCACATACAGGTAAAAGCGATTGAGACTGACCTTAACCATGACTTCCATTGCCAGGTAACCACCAACACTCAAACCATGGACCAGCAGTGGAGTATGTGATGGGTTAGCATGTAGGAATTCTAACACTTGGTCTGCTACTAACTATAAAGGTAAAGACAATTTCATTAGATCAATATGGGCACAATATTGTAAAGCCACCAAAATATTTATCCTCAAGTTACATATTCAATAAACCAACTGTTGTTGACATTCTTTTTTATAATTATAAGTCTTCCGGGTATTTATACAGGTTGGGTATCCATTACTATATCCGAAATGCTTGGGGTCTTAAGGGTCTCGGATTTGGGATATTTTTGAATTTTGGAATACCCATATCCTGTACTGTAAACAGAACCTGTATAATGCAGTTGCTCACCAACAGGGTTGGGGCCCAAGTCTATGCACAAAATTCATTTATATATCATTTACAGTATATGGATGCATATATTCTGTAGGTAGTTTTATGAAATATAATTCAATAATTTTGGCTATAAAATATTTGATAAAATGTACACTATAGACTCAGAAAGGTAAGAAATCACTACCATCTGTTTGGCATCACCATGACACCTGACTCTGAGGTGCTAAGCAGCCTGTGTCTTACCTTTATTCATTACACATACATACTTACCCAAGTAAAAATTATGATATATGCCATATTGAGTGTATTTTCTACCATATATAGAATGAAATAGACTTTCGTATTTCAGAGCATTTTGGACTTGGGAATTTTGGATAAGGGATACCCAACCTGTAATACAGAAGCTGTATGGTTGCTCAATATAAGTTTAAGACTGCCAAAATTTGCAGAAAATAAGTCCAACAAATATCAGTACTGCAGACTATAAAAATTAGTTCAATGAAGCATGTACACACAAGACTCCTAATAAATAAAATCCTAAGCATTAAGTAAAAGGCTTAAATTCTGCAGGTACAGTCTCGTTCAAGATTCTTTGAACACTGTTGGAGAGAGCTGGCAACTCAAGGCCATTTGTTTACTATAGTACGTTGTAAAAATAATGAATGAATGTAAAAGTGATCGGTGATTGGTTACTTAGTTCCCCGTTGCTTAATTAATGGTTGGGTTTTGTTGTTTCGTATTATATTATACTTTTCTGCAGGTAGATACTGTTAATTTTATTTTAAAATGGATAGAGCAATGGGCCAACCTATATGAATTCGTGTTTAGACAATTAATCATGGGTAAATATCGGTAAGAATGTTAAAGAACGTCATGCATCAGGCATAGCTGTGTGCAGGTTGTGTATGAGGGTGCTTGTTTATCATTAATTTATTCTAATGTCTTCAAATGTTTAATTCATTTCGAGTAATTAATCCGGTCGTATTTAACCGATGTTAAACGGACTTCTTTCTAAAGACGCTCATTTCATGCAACACAAACTGCTGTTTTAATTTGCTGTGGGATTAAGCAGAATCATCGGTTCACTGATACCTGTAGTGTGTGTGTGAGTGCATGCGTGTGGAGTGTGTATGCAGTACTGGATTAAGGGGTTGGGGGGCCCTGGGCGACACCTAGCAGTGGGGGGCCCCCTGCTGACAACTGAAAATAAATACAGTGGTCCGTCAGTTAATGAACGCTTCGGTTAACGAATTACCTTCCATAAGAATCTTCAAATCGCTTAACGAAAAAAAATTCAATTAACGAAATCCTTACGAAAATCACGTTTTGTTGTGAGAGTTCGGATGGTGCTCAGAAGAAAAAAGACAGTCAATTACTTTTGAGATGAAAATGAAAATAATAATGCAATGTGAAAATGGAAAAACGGTAGCAACCATTTCACGCGACCTTGGCTTCTCTCACTCGAAAATATCAATAATTTTGAAGGACAAGGCAGAGTCATTTGCTACTATTAATAAGGGGATGCAAATGTTTGAAGAAATGGATCAAAATGTTGAGCGTTTTGCAAAAGTTGACAGACAGATCCAAGATGCACTTGCTTGCTACAGGGAGATTTACAATGAAAAGAAAAGGCAAACTGTGCAGTCTAAATAGGACACATATTTTAAGAAGTCCCCCACTGCTATCTACTCATGCCCCACCACTGCTGCCTCTTCACTCCCCAAGGATGATCCAATACCTTCAACAAGCAAGTATGTTAACCTGTCTGAAGAAAGCGAAATTGATAACCCACCCAGCCCTGTCTCCTCCTCTGCTTCATCCAATTAATGTAATCTCTATGTTTAATTAAAAAATTATTGGGGCCCCGTGTGCATTCAGTTGACTACATTAAAGGTAAGTGCACAGAAACACTTTATTAATTTTTCAATATTGATTACTTTTACTGTACCATATTTCATTTTAGATTTTCTATGTATTATTTTCGCATTTTCGACTTACGACCTGGTCAACGGTCCCTAACCCCGTCATAAGTCGAGGACTGACTGTACATTCATTTATAAAAGCACTTTTTGTGATTTTTTTCTAGCAAATAAATGTATCAAATTGTCAAATGGAAGTTCTCTTGAAATGTCTGACTCGGTGCTTAATAGCATCAGATTGTTAAGTCTCTCCTGGCGCATCGTGGTCTGCAGCCTGTTTTTGATCAGTTTCATTTTTGAGAAGGAACGCTCCCCGGTATAATTGGAGACCATTAACACCAGATATACTTCAAAACCGTTTCTACATTTGGAAATGCTGATTGTAAGCCATCGTTTTCCTTTATAATTCTGTAATAAAACGAATCATTGGGCTCATCCGCGGCTTTTGCACACAACTTTACCAGAGACGAGAATTTAATCATTTCATTGGAGATGTTTTCATTAATATCTTTTCCATAAGTTTGCAGAAGATTTTCTGAAGAAAAAATGAATGGCATCGGCTGACATGGCTTCCAGATTGCTTAAAAAGCCGAAGGAATCCTTCACCAACGTGTATGCAGAAATCCTTTCGTTCAGGGATACCACTAGGTGATCAATGACTGTGAGGCAGCATTTTGTTCGGAAATTGTCTCTTGGACTGAGATCCACTTCACTTGAACGTCCATAATCCAGTGGAGCGAGACGTATGTTTGATCGCCTCTGACGACCTGAATGGACAAACTCGGTGCTTCCTGCCAGATCTTTTGCTTTTTCCTCACAGGCGTCAAAACTGTCTCGCTTTCTTTCAACAAAACATTTCAAGGAAACCAGCAAATTTACTGCTGATTGAAGAATTAGTTTTGGATCTTGAAGAAGTTTGTGTGGTGTAGTGTTCACTTGTTTATACAGCCTTTTTATTATTTTATTTTAATCTCTGTCTTAAATAAGTTAAATCAGTTCACCAAACACGAGTTTTAGTAGGAAATATTTGTGGCGGCCTGGTGGAGTTACGGTAAGTGGTGCACAGCGAGTGTGAGGCAATCTGTTCCATTTGTTTATTGCTCTGTGGTAAAGGTTTTTAAAACTGTTTTTTACAATGTTGATTGCGGGCCCTAGATGTGGGAAGCCCAGGGCGTGCGCCCGGTACGCCCTCCCCATAATCCGGGCCTGTGTGTATGTGTACATGTGGAGTGTATGATGTATTATAAATTTTTTATCTTATTTATTTATTCATTCATTTATTTTTTATAAATGTCTAATAAAATATAAATAGAACGCTGACGTTATTGGCGGGAGAAGGTGAGGAAGACAAGAGGTGTTGTCAGTGCTGACTTCCCTTCCACTCCCTCAATTGTAAAAGACCCCTGCCAACATGGAATACCACACGCAGAAAATCACTGAACGTGGAAGAATAATCGGTATGAAGGAGGCTGGGTTTTCACCCACTGAAATTGCCCGAGAATTGGGGGTTTCTCGGTCAACTGTATACTATTATTGGATTAAGCGATGGGAAGAGGAGGGAAGTTTAAAGGACACCACAGGACGGGAATGCCGCGCAGAACAACACCTGCATAATTTGAAACCATCCGGAATTTGCTGAGGCCAACCCCTTTCAAGACTTCATTTTCAATAAGAGAGGATCTCCAAATAAATATTTCCCCTTTAACAATCAGGCGAAGATTTCATGAAGGAGGCATTCACCATAGAACTCCTGCCACCAAAGAGAAGTAAAATGAGCAATATCATGAGGGCAGGTTGCAGTTTGCTCGACGGTATGCTGAAGAAAGCCTAGATTTCTGGGGAAGAGTAATATTCACTGATGGAAAAACTTTCTCATCTACCTCTCACGGAAGGTTGCACTGCTGGAGGAACAACACCCGATATGCTAGACAGCATATTTATGAGGAAGCAAGGAGTGGCCATGTGACTTGCAATGTTTGGGGATGATATATTTGCACAGAGCTGGAGAGCTGATTGACATAGAAGGGAGATTCACAGCTGAACAGTATTTAGAAGTACGCGAAGTAGTTATGCTTCCCTCAGTACATGCATATGCTTTCCCGTTTCCCGAAAACATCATCTTCATGCAAGATAGATGTCCTATCCATACTGCACGGATTGTAACGCGGTGGTTTGCAGTACATCAACCTCTCCTCCGACATTGTCCCACCTCCTTCCATTACTTTAGGTCCGAACACATTCCAGGTTGTAGATTCCACGAAGCTCCTCGGCGTCACCATAGACAACAAACTAAATTGGAAACCACACGTCAGTGAAGTTGTCAAATCCTCCAGTTTCCGTCTCCACCTCCTCCACCGACTCAAGTCCCTCGGAGTTCCTGCACCCAAGCTCCTCAGTGTTTACACAACATTCATACTTCCCAAGCTCACCTATGCCTCCCCTACCTGGTCTTCCTCCCTAAATGCCACACAACGTAAACACCTAGAAAAAGTGCAAAAGAGGGCATGCAAGATTATTCTCTCCCCTTCCTACTCCACATATCAAGAAGCGCTCAACACAATGACCCTTTCGACTCTCACTGACTATCACCACGACCTCATCTGCAAATTTGGTAAGAAGCTTCTACACCATCCTCGACACCGGCTCCTACTACCACCTGAGATCCCTAGCCCGAGAATTGCTGTTCGACACTACAACCGCATCCAGCCCATACGTGCACGAACTGATCGCTATAAGAACAGCCCAGTCCCAACCATTGCCAAAATTATCAATAACTTGTAATAAACCAGTGTATTCACTCCCAGTAAATACTACTTCTTGCA